GTCATAGAATTCTGTATGAAAGAGAAGCCAGATCCGCGCGTGTCCAGCATCCAGCGCTGTTTAAGCCATCGCTCAGCATTATACAAGCACTCAACACTTGTACCAGCATCCTAATTCCGGGTTTCCGAGAACAGCCGCCCTAGATTGCATTGACATTCCACAGTCTTCCGCGGCCTGCCACCACAGATCACCTCATCAAGTGGTCGCTCTCTCAAATCGGCAAACCCTACCGAGTCATCGGCCGGTTGCTCGCTAGTATAAAGCATCTTGCCACCCGCGCTCGTCCCTTACTCTTCCCTCCCGACCATTATGTTAGCGCTTCCCAATAGACGTCAGCACCTTCCGCAACAACATCACACGCCAGCTATCCCGTCACCACCATCTTCACAACACGACGCGCTCCAACATCTGCCTCAGCATTACGCCGCACAGCATTTCTTTGATCAGAAGCTGCTCAACGACTACCTCGAGTCTCAGCAGCAGTCGTTTGGCGCCTCCTCGAGCGGTGCGCCCAACTCGTTCATGACGAGCGCATATACCGACTACGCAAACCCGGCTATCCGCATTCAGCAGTCGACACCAACACCCCAACTGCCCCAAAGCGGCTTCACGCAACCACCGATGATCGCTACGAGCACCAACGGCAGCTGGAACTACGGCGATGAGCAGGGTCAATCGCTTCAGACACCTTCGCAGCACCAGCACCGCGGACATCAGCGCGCATCATCATCGTCCTCAGCAGGGTCCAGTGCCTCGCAGTACCAGGCCGCCGGACCCTCGGCAGGCTACCAGTACGTCGACTACTCTGCGTCGGCAGACTCATCAGGCATGGCTGACATCTCTCCAAGATCGTTCTCGAACCATCTCCCCACGCCCACGCACACGCCTACCCAAGAATCCTTCATGAACAGTAGCAACTTTCACAACTACACGCCAAACTCGGTCAGCATGGACCAGACCATGTCCGCACACATGTCCATGAAGCAGGCGCTCATGGACCAGAGTGACGACGTGCCAGACTTTGCGCACTCCGCACGGCAGTCCGTGTCCAGCTACGGACGTGATTCACCTGTGACTCCGCACACCGCGCAGGACGACATGGACTTCAAGATGCCAGCAAACGGTAAGACTCTCTATAGAGTCGACTCCTGGCTCTTCAATCAATTCTGTACTTACGATGACCCAGATATGCGATCAGTGCCAAAGTTCGAGAGGACTTACACAGACATCGCTGCTGACAACTTCTACGACCCGAGCACTGTCGCTTCCCAGCCAGTATCACAGTCAAAACCAGCACAGTCGTCGCTGTTGTCGCCATACCGCAGCAACGAGAACGTCCAGCGTGCGCTGCAAGCAGCACAGATCGCGCGTTCGCAATCGCCAAGCAGTGCTGCATCACGCGGTGATTCTCCGTTCAGGAAAGGTTCACCATACCGTCAGCCGACCACCAGCTTCAACTTGTCCATGGTCGGTACTGCTGTGGCAGCACGTGAGCAGAACCGCCTGGCTGATGCGGCTTACGCAATGAAGTCGACGATGCGAACAAGCGATAATCAGCCGGAGACCATTTCGCCCAAAGACGCCTTGTTGGACTACGGAGAGAATGACGAAGACTCAAAGGTTCCATTGTTCCAGGACAATGGCGCTAACGAGTACGACAACCAATACAGCGGTGGCGACCAATATAGAAACGCTACCCAATCCACCTTCGACACAACATCAGCACAGTCCTTCCGTCGCAACAGTTGGGCAACACCTCAGTTTTCACCAAACTTCTCCGCTGCCACCGCTCCATCACCCCAACAATCATCAAACTTCAATTTCGCCACACCATCACTACAAGGGAACATTCACAGTCTGCCCATGAATGCGACGTCTCAGTATCGATCAACACCTAGTAGTATGCCGTCGGGTGTGGACGAAATACCGGCCTTCCCAGCGCACTTGACATCCATGGAGTCGAGCGCGAGCGAAGCCGAGCCACCGAACGGAAGCCAGAACAGCGTCCTTTCCGATCGCTTCCTGCAAAAGCCGGCATCATCAACCGCAAACCACGGCACGTACTCTTGCACGTACCATGGCTGCTCCCAGCGTTTCGAAACTCCGCAAAAGTTGCAGAAGCATAAGCGTGAGGGTCATCGAAGCGCAAATCTCAGTGCTGCGATGACGTCAGCGGCTATCCTGGAGCGCAACTCGCAAGCAGGGCCTCACAAGTGTGAGCGCATCAACCCCACAACTGGAAAGCCTTGCAATACTGTATTCTCACGTCCGTACGATCTCACCCGACACGAAGACACGATTCACAACGTGCGTAAGCAAAAAGTCCGCTGCGCACTGTGCATCGAGGAGAAGACTTTCTCACGCAATGATGCATTGACACGCCACATGGTAAGAACTCACCATCAAACACGCAAATAACACGCACAGATTTGCTAACACTTGCAAAGCGCGTTGTGCATCCTGAGGTTGACTTCCCCGGAAAGCATCGCAGACGTGGAGGGAACCATGAATGAGCGTCTTCCGATGCCATGTGCGGAGTTGGCCGAATGCCGCGGAGGTCCACCACCCTGCAACTATGATGCGTTTATTCCAGAACAGCCGCGAATGTTCGAGACATGCATGTCACTCGACTGCGACGCACGAAAATCTCTTCTCAGTGGTCTCGAATTGCGAAGTTGTTTTCTCGGAGAAATTTCAGTAGCGTCTGCAGAAGCGACGACATTGATTTCGTCTGCTTGTTGCTTGTTTTTGCATCCCTTGCATTTCCGTTCGATGCGGCAATGTTTCTCCGATCGGGTCCGGCATTGTTACGGTGCATCGCATCCAGATGTTCGCTGGTCGGAACTGGATCGTCTGGCGTTATGGTTTCACAGCGTCGACTGTAAACTATTTCCTTTGGTCATTGCTTCCAATCTTGAATTTCAGCGACCAGCAAGCGGGCACACTGATGATGATTTGACGAAAGAGATGGCTTCTGACTGGATGTTTGTATGTGTACTAAAAAGCGACGAACTTTATGGACGACATCGCTGGCTCCTAAGAGCCTGGGTTTAGATTTTGGAATCTCTTGTTGTTTTCTCTATCCGGCTCATTCTGAGCATTGCCTAATATATACCACGTCTTCTCACTTTACAATGTCTTCCACTATCCTTTCAGTGATCATTTATTTGGGCAAGATATGCACGCATCGAATGTACTTCACCTGTGGCTGAACACGCTAAGCCGTTTTTCCTAACAGCCATCAAAGTTTACAATAGTAATTAGATACTTAGAAGCAATATTCTCATATTCGACAGCCAAAGTCCGTCCACATGCATACCATTCCATGAACAGCAATGTTTTCCTCAGGTCCGTTGCTCGGCTGAGTTTGAATTAAGCCACGCATCGGAGGCCCAAAGCAACGAGGTGCATGAAACAGCTTGGCGCCCACGATTCCATCATCGGACACGCCGGTCTCAACCACAAACCCCACTTGCAGTACTCGTAAGTTAGCACCATCGAAGCTGAGCCTCAAGACCCAGACAAACCGTACGATTCATGCAGAAATTGCACTACTACAGCTTGTCCATGGATACCTATCAAAGCGCGCAATAGTACCACTAGTGCCTTGTCTGTCAGCACCTTAACCCATAGCGAGGATCTAGTCTGGTGGCCTGCCGGTGCCGCCCGTCACGCTAACAGAGAAGCAGTATGGACCACTGCACTGCTCTGCTCTTAGAAGGCTGTGCCGTCGTTGGGAATATGAGATTAGTTCTAGAAGCATACTTTGGAGGCGCAAGTTTGTTTGTAGGTTGTAGCCGTCCCACAGACCAAGCGGAGCCATGGTCAGCAATTAGCGGGTATTTCAAAGCATTTACCGAGGTTCGGGAATAGCGATTGGAGAGATGTCGAGTATCACAACGTGGAGAGTTTGTTAATACGAAGTTCTGCTAAATGCCCCAAACAGGGCCGAAGAATATCGGGATTAGCTAGAGAGTCAGACGGTGGGATAGTGTGGGACTCGATGGCATGACCTCATGTAGGGCTGAGCGCGAGAGGGGATGGGGATCGGAGCTTGTTCTCTTTATCGATAGTAAAACGGTCCAGGTTCCCACAGTCAGGAGGACGAACGAGTCTGCGGAATGCCTGCCGCCAAGTCGACGATAGAGTTTCGCTGGAGTGTGTTTGCGGTGAAAAAGCAAGCTCGTCCAAGGAGCGGTAAGGGATGTTGACGTCGTGTGTGGCATTATTTGGAACGACAGGGAGAACATCGCAAGCTTTTGCGGCCTCTTCCGTCATGTCATGCCAAAGCTTGGCAAGTATGTTTGCTTGCTTACTTGGGCTTCTGTTAGTTTCTTGTTTGCCCAGGAGTCAGCTCGCATGAATAAACCCGAGTTGGCCATACACGAGACGATGCCTACCTTCCACATTTTCACCCCCTGCCCTGTTCCTGTTCCGCGGGTTTCTTTTGCCTAAACTCGTTTCACCAATGAACAACCACGCAAGTGAAGTCACCAGCGTGCCCCGAAACCACGATATTGTCTCGTTAGGGTCTGCCGATCATGATGCGTTGCTCGTCTAGGGCCCTGGTTTCATTGGTCGATACGGTGTACGAGGGATAGGCCTCGTGGTCGATCGCTGCTGGGCGATTATATCACTTGAGCGGCATCGAGATTTGGTATTGGTAGTGGTGGTGGTTTGCGGTGCAGTGTACGCTGGGGTTTTGCTGAAGGGAGGAAATTATTCGGTTGAGGTCGTAATGGAACTGGGATATCCCAGGGTTGGGAATAACTGATGCTTGTGGCTGGAGCTTAAAGTGTCAAGTCTTTGGACTGCACCATTCGACCTTTAGGAGGGTTGAAGGTTCTTTTCAACGCGGCAGACGCAAATGGCATAGCCAAACTTCTAACCGAGTACCATGAACACGGACTCCACACCTGATGCTGCTTGCACGTCGCCACAGTTAAGAAATGTATATATTATATGCAATTTTCAAGTTTTTCTCATCGAAATCACCAACTGGCTTCATGGCGCAATGGTAGCGCGTCAGATTCCAGTTTCTCTGGAGCTACCTGAAGGTTAGGCGTTCAAATCGCCTTGAGGTCATTACATGTTTTCTTTTTTGCCAACTTAGGTGCTCCAACTGTAAGGCTTTCCTTGTTTTTGTTTCCTCATTTTGCGGTGCTTTGCTTAAATTCGGGTTTTTTAACCGACGAACAAGACTAAAGTGATAAAGTTTCGTCTATCTACTTTGTATGCGCAGCTATTGAATAGTGAGAGGGACGTGTAGAGGTCCAGGTTGAAGTTTCAGAGCAGCATTACCTCTCAGATAAAGAGACAAGGTGAGACATGGCTGTGAAGAAAGAAATGATAGCATATAAGGACCGCAAAGCGGAGGATAGACCTTTAATAAAGAAGCAATCTCAATATCCCAGCTTTCAGAACATGCGCGCCTGGACACTAGCTCTCAACCTACGACGCTCAGCACTTGAACGCACTAACACACAGGAAGCTCATCCAAAGACCTTGTTCATGACTCCACCCACAACCAAAGTTGCTATCAATCCGATCAATCCGATATGAGCCTCATATCTGATCTATCTGATGAGCTTTGAAGCTGTCATCTGACCTACCTGTCTGATGAGGCATTAGCAGTAAATTGCTGATTGATCTGATCTGATTGAGGAAGGAGAGGGCAGTCCATTAATCTGATTGATCTATCTGAGTTCAAATTGAGATGGCTCCTTCTGTATAGCCGTCACCAGAAGAACCTCAAGGGTCAGTATTATCACTGAACCTATGGCTTCAAGTACAGTGCCAACATGGATTTCATCAGATCAATCAGGTGGGAAATTCAATATCTATCTGATATGAGGCTACTGCGATCCATATATCTGTTTGATCAATCTACCAAGATTCAATCAGATCAATCAGATATCTGATAGCTCATCTGATTGAAAGCAGGTTTGCCCACAATAGCCTGTTCTACAAATGCAACCTTCTTCCCCTTCCCTCTCCTGTCTGCCCATTCCCCGCCATTCCTACCCACCTTCTCTAACCCTCCCATCATCTCCTCCCCCACCCCACCGCCATACCACTCCCCCTCACACGCCACGGCCCAATGCCTTGCCTTTGCCCTTCTCTTGGCTACCTTCCTCCTCGTCTTGATGATGATGGTGGCGATGCATCCGAGGAGTGCGAGGCCAACGATTATTATAGCGGCTATGATGCCGGTTTCTAGGTGGCCGTGGTGGGAGATAGAAGGGGAGGGGGAGGGGGAGGAAGGGGGGTTTGGATATAATGTTGGGTCGTCGTCTGCGCGGGCGAGGAAGAATGAGAGTTGGGGCATGGCGAAGGAGATGCCGACGATGCTAGTGTGCTGGCTTTTTTGGATTTCGTAACCTTGCGCTTCCAATGTGTGGGTTTGGGTGCCTTGAATGGTTGGCTTTCGCAAACTGGTGTTGGGCCGTTTGAGCGGAGGCTGGTTCGCGGCATTTGAGATTGTTTTCCGATTTTTTTATGGGGATTGGGAATATACACGGTAGTGTTATGGCGGAATTGCTGGTAACACGAGAAGGCTGTGAAGTCGGTGCAGCGATGGTAGGCTTGTGGTGATGTTTATTGAAACCTGCCTCAGACTGGACTTCCGTGTTATGGCGGGATGCTTGGACACTCTACTCTCGCAAGATACCACGAGTTTGATTTTCCGGTTCCGAAGGACTATTTTAGAGAACTGACTGTAATTGGCGTTTGAAGTCGTGGCGGGGATGGTACGCAGGTCTCCGGATCCGAGAGCTGAGATGGCTCGCAAAATACTTCCCACAACAATAAAACCAAACGCAGTTCCCCGCAAGACTTACACAGACGCACCTATTAGTAACGCCTTGTGGAGTCAGCTCACTGATGGTCTTATGATACCCGGATCCGGAGACGCCTATAGACAGATCTGGTGTTGAATTTAACAAAGTCCGTCCAACTTGCGACTCGGAGGGACAAATCGGACAGCGGGATTACACCGATGGTAGAGATTGTAAGGATCGAAGTGAAATCAGTACACAAGGTGACGAATACACGTGATGGTTACTAGATCGACATCGCTTCGTCCTCGCAAGACTTTTGGCCGCGACTTGCGAAGTACAGATCGAACTGGCAAGTCTGTTCAATGTTAACGAAAAAGATAACAACCAAACTCGGTAGGCCAGTATCTCCCGGGCCCTGTGCACGCAAATACTGCAATGAAACAACTGCGAGAGCATCTCGACGATACTTTAATTTGCCCAGGCTTTGTCTTCGGAAGTCTACCAAAGTACTCCCAACGATAGGCCTTTCATGGCAGCTAAGTGCTCATACACTGGCATCAACTTCGGCTGTCTTCGAAAGTCGCGATGGTGAGTCGTGCGTAACGCTAGCGTCCTCCAAGCTAAGCTTCTAACTCCCCGAGATTGTTTGGGTGAAAGCACTGGTACTTGCAGTTAAGTTCTCCGGCACATCACTTGCAAACGTTCTTCCTATGATCCCCCATGTAACAGCAACCAGGGGAGCTCACCACGCAAGGCCTCATACTGGCAGGTACCACTATCGTGCGGTAGACGTTGTAGAAGGAGGTTTCAAACGTCCCTATCATGAGGTATCCTTGATTCGTACGTTGTGTCTACACCCGTGTCAGTACTTCTAATCAAGCATCTGTTCGCGACTACTATACTTACAAATGCGCTCCCACTTTGAAGCCTTGCTGGCCAATCTTGCTGAGGATGGTTGAACAAGGACTCCGCTGTGATGCATTTGCCCTCGATGCTTGAAACACCTTCGCCACTGGTCGCGACCTGTTCAACTTCCAGCTCGAATCCGTGCTACCGGAATCGAACCAGAAGTAAGGTCGCTACTTCCACTCATCGGCAGAACTTGAAATTGGGGCGGAATGATCAACCCTCAAAAGTGTTCGTCACGGCTACGATGATCCTGAGTCTGAAACCGCGCTTATGCTCGAATTGAAGCAGCTGTTCCAGCACCTGCATAGATTCCGACGATATCTTATCGTGATTGGCGGTAACGGACCCGGGGACACTGGGAAGATCCCAATAAGGCAGCCTCAGGACGACTGCCACGTTGCGTAGGTGGTCGCGCGGGATAAAGCCGGGTGCGATGAAGGATGTAGTGAGAAACAGCTGCAGTCGGTCCACACCTTATATCTTGAAATTTGTTTCCTCGCAGAATATGCCAGCCAGCTCCCTAGCCATGTCCGTGTCTGCGGTTAGATGCAGGAACTCGGCAACGTATCACTTACCTCGTGGAGCATCCTGAGCTGGCACTCAAGTTTATGTTCGGTTGACAGGCTCTACTATGTATGTTTCGGGACTGCAGGACGAATCACTTCAAAACACTGTTGCCATGCTTCAATAAATCAATCGCTAAACCTGCCAGCCGACCCTTATTCAACGCCGTATCCTACAACTTAGGTATCATGCAATGACGCAGCTAGCCCTGTAAAGCATGCTCCTTTTCGTGCCTTTTCTGGATTCATCGTGCCCTCGAAGTGATCCCACTTGTTTAGAGTGTCTAAGTAAGCTTCTGCTTGATGAAGAATGCCCGCAAGTGCGATAGCTGCCATGCGCAAGTGACACCGAGGATGACGAGCTGGATCATGGTCCAGCGGACGACACGGGAGTTTGTGTGTTCGGACTGGTCGCGGAACTCGGCTTCACGTTCCTGTACAGACATTAGCTTTGCCCTAGCCACACTGCCTCCCAATAGCCCTCCCTGTACGCAGCGCCAGAAGAGAGTGTCGACGTACCCGCTGGAAGACCTGTTCCCGTCTCACATCCTGCAGCCGCGAGTTTAGATCCTTGACCTTCTGCACCAGCGTCTCGACCTTGTCCTTGTCCGTGCTCTCGATCCTGCTCGTCTCACCAATCGCAATGTCCAGCGTGAAGCGGACGGTGCCGTGTACACCCGAAGTCAGCCAGCCGCCGCCGCCAGTTGGCACATTCTGCGGTATCACGCAGATGCGATGTTGGCCGCTGTCGGCGGCGCTGAAGGTGAAGCGGCCCTCGGAGGAGCCCCGTTGCGCGACGATGCGGTGGTTATTGTCGAAGACCTCTTCGACCGTCACGAAGACGCCAACGTCGGGCTTGGTCATGTAGGATTTGGTCGCATCGTCCCAGACTTCGGCGTGGTAGTGACCTGGAGGCTGTTAGACTGTGTTCCTTGTACAGTTCGTTTCCAGTATAGCTCATGTATGAGAGCCTGTAAGGTAAAGGTGTGCCATACCGACGACCAGCGTATCCTTGGGCAATTCCTCGTAGAAGCACTTCTGGATCGCGCCATCCAGGAAGAAGTGTAGCGCTTGTGAGGGGACCGCTAGCGCAGCGGCGAGCAGCAGGGTTGGTTTCCACATGGCGGAGGTCTGTATTCCCCGCCGAGTTTAGATCGTGGCGCGGAGTCGAGTGTTGGTGAGCTGGTCACTTGGGAATCTTGAAGCGTGAATGTCCGACTTCCAGAAACTCCAGGTGGTCGCAACCCAATGCGGTTAGACCGCTGACACGTGCGCCCCTCCCTTCTTCGGCGCGTTGAGATCTTGCACAACCTTACTTTGCCTTCGTAGTCGGTTGCTCTAGACCTTCTTATGAACTGGTTCGATGTTTTCATTTTCATTTTCATTTTCATTTTCACCTTTAAAGGACGTCCCGCATTGATGAGCCTGTATATGCTTCGATATAATCACTCATGACTTCTTCGGTACATAGTGTAAATCCCACGACAATAGCTTCAATCTAGTCATCAAAGCTATCCGTACTCCTAGGTCGGGTCAACAACAACTCTAAACATCATCCAAAGATGCCAATCGGCAACTCCGAAGCCGACCCCGCAACTACAAGATCTAACCTAGGTAAATAGTTGTCGCGCATAGCTGACTACCTAGGTACAACCATGATTGCCGAATTTCCCTCCTCTTATCTCTGATGCTGCCCTTCTTTTCAAATCCTCACATCGTCCTCATCTTCATTTTGTTCCCAATAGTGACACTTTGTGAACAATCAGCAAGACATCCGGTAGCATTCATAACCGGAGAGCGACCTTCGCCCAGGATAGCACCATCTATCAAAAGC